AGGGACAGGAACAGTGGGGACAGTGTCAGGGACAGTGTCAGGGACAGGGACAGGGACATTGGGGACAGTGTCAGGGACAGGGACAGTGTCAGGGACAGTGGGGACAGCAGCAGGGACAGGGACATTGGGGACAGTGTCAGGGACAGGGACAGGGACAGGCACAGTGGGGACACCAGTGCACAGCAGGGATGTCACACGGGTGGACAGGGGGACACAGAGGGACACCAGGACAGCAGGGACAAGGGAGGGACAGACAAGGGACACCGCAGGGACAGCACCAGGACACGCAGGGACAGTGAGGGGACAGCGGGGACAGCAGCAAGAGACAGGGGACACTCCATGTCCCCCTCAGCGCTCCCAGTCCCCTCCGTGTCCCTTTGTCCCTTGTCCTGTGTCCCCGGTCCGTGCCTCTCCCCTTGTCCCCTCCACATCCTCGTGTCCCCTCCATGTCCCTTTATCTCTTGTCCTGTGTCCCCCTGTCCCCTCCATGTCCCCTTGTCCCCTCCATGTCCCTCTGTCCCCTTGTCTCATGTCCTGTGTCCCCGGTCCCTGCCTGTCCCCTTGTCCTGTGTCCCCTTATCCCCTCCATGTCCCCTTTATGTCCCTGTGTCCCCTCCATGTCCCTGTGTCCCTTGTCCTCTCCATGTCCCCTTATCCCCTCCATGTCCCCTTGTCCCCTTTATGTCCCCGTGTCCCTTGTCCTGTGCCCCCTTGTCCTCTCCATGTCCCTTTGTCCCCTGCTGTCCTCCCCCAGCCCCACCCCCGCAGTGTCCCTGCAGTGTCCCTGTGGTGTCCCCGTGCTGTCCCCAGTGTCCCCGTGGTGTCCCTGTGGTGTCCCCAGTGTCCCCGCGGTGTCCCCAGTGTCCCCGTGCTGTCCCCAGTGTCCCCGGTGTCCCCTCTGACCATCTGGCCCTGCTTGGCCATCTTCTTGATGTCCACGATGATTTTCTTCTCCTGCGCCTCCAGCTTCTGCCGCTCGCGGTCCAGCTCCCGCACGGCGCGGGCCAGGGCGCGCTGGTTCTGCCTCAGCAGCTCCTCCGGCGTCCTCCGGCGCCCGAACAGCAGCTCCATGGGGACAGGGACACCTGGGGACAGTGGGGACAGTGATGGGGACATTGGGGACAGTGATGGGGACATTGGGGACAGTGATGGGACAGGGCCAGGGCGCGCTGGTTCTGCCTCAGCAGCTCCTCCGGCGTCCTCCGGCGCCCGAACAGCAGCTCCATGGGGACAGGGACACCTGGGGACAGTGGGGACAGTGACGGGACACTGGGGACACCTGGGGACAATGGGGACAGTGACAGGACACTGGGGACACCTGTGGGACACCAGGGCCAGCGAGGCTGGCGGTGGCACACGGCCCAGGGTGCGCTGGCTCTGCGGGAGAAACTCCTGCGGTGACCAAAGAGCGGCTCCAAGGGGACACTGGGGACACATCTGGGGACACATCTGGGGACACCTGGGGACACATCTGGGGACACCTAGGAACTCCAGGGGACACTGGGGACACCTGTGGGACGTTGGGGACACCTGGGGACAGCTCTGGGACACCGATGGGACACTGGGGACACTCACGGGGTGTTGGGGACACCGTGTTGGACACCAGGGGACACGAGAAGAGGACACGGCCATGGTGGCACCCGGCCATGGGGACAGGGGACACGGGGAGGGGACAGCGAGGTGACATGGGGACACCTGGCCTTGTCCCACAGACCCACTGTCCCCTCAGGGCCCTCCCCAGAGCCGCTCCCGGCTCCTCAAATCCGCCCCAAATCCGACCCAAATCCCCTTAAATCCCCCCCAAGAGCCACCCGGGCCCCTTAATTCCCCCCCACGACCCCAAAATGTCCCCAAATGTCCCCAAATGTCCCCCCCGAACGCCCCCGGAGCTCACCCGGCTCCGCCCGGGCACTTCCGCAAACAGTGACGTCACGCGCGGTTCCGATCACGTGAGCCAGGCGGGTTTCGGTCACGTGACGGCGCCTCCGGGCGGGGAGGAACGAACCACAGAGGAGCGGCCGGAGCGGCCACTTCCGGGACGGGGCAGCGAGAGCAGAGGGCACTTCCGGGACGGGGCAGAGAGAGCAGCGGCCGGAGTGGCTCCGCCCGAGGAGGGCGACACCTGGCGGCGCGGAGGTGTCCGGGAGGCTGAGGGCAACTGGGAGAGCTGGGAATGGGAACTGGGAACACTGGGAGTGCTGGGAATGGGAACTGGGAACACTGGGAGTGCTGGGATTGGGAACTGGGACCACTGGGAGTGCTGGGAATGGGAACTGGGAACACTGGGAGTGCTGGGAATGGGAACTGGGAACACTGGGAACACTGGGAATGGGAACTGGGAACACTGGGAGTGCTGGGAATGGGAACTGGGAACACTGGGAGTGCTGGGAATGGGAACTGGGAACACTGGGAGTGCTGGGATTGGGAACTGGGAACACTGGGAGTGCTGGGATTGGGAACTGGGAACACTGGGAACACTGGGAATGGGAACTGGGAACACTGGGAACACTGGGAATGGGAACTGGGAACACTGGGAGTGCTGGGATTGGGAACTGGGAACACTGGGATTGGGAACTGGGAACACTGGGAACACTGGGAACACTGGGATTGGGAACTGGGAACACTGGGATTGGGAACTGGGAACACTGGGAACACTGGGATTGGGAACTGGGAACACTGGGAGTGCTGGGATTGGGAACTGGGAACACTGGGAACTTTGAGCAATGGAACCGGCCCCATCCCAGTTTAACCAGTGACACCCCCATGCCCCTCCCAGTATAGACCAGTACAGACCAGTATAACCCAGCACAGACCAGTATAACCCAGCACAGACCAGTATAACCCAGTCTAACCCAGTATAACCCAGTACAGACCAGTATAACCCAGCACAGACCAGTATAACCCAGCACAGACCAGTACAACCCAGCACAGACCAGTATAACCCAGTATAACCCAGTACAGACCAGTATAAACCAGTACAGACCAGTATAACCCAGTCTAACCCAGTATAACCCAGCACAGACCAGTATAACCCAGTCTAACCCAGTATAACCCAGCACAGACCAGTATAACCCAGTACAGACCAGTATAACCCAGTACAGCCACTGGGTCCCACCTGGTCTGAGCCAGTACAAACCAGTACAAACCAGTTCAAACCAGTACAAACCAGTACAAACCAGTACAAACCAGTACAAACCAGTATGACTAGTAGCATCCCTCCTGGTATAACCCAGTGAAATCAGGAACACGTCCCCAGTTTAACCCAGTTTAAACCAGCCCAAGCCAGCCCAAACCAGTTCAAACCACTCCAAACCATTCCAAACCAACCCAAACCACTCCAAACCACTCTAAACCAGTCCAAACCAGTCCAAACCAACCCAAACCAACCCAAACCAGCCCAAACCAGCCCAAACCAGCCCAAACCACTCCAAACCAACCCAAACCAGCCCAAACCAGCCCAAACCACTCCAAACCAACCCAAACCAGTCCAAACCACTCCAAACCAGTCCAAACCACTCCAAACCAGTCTAAACCAGTCCAAACCAGTACAAACCACTCCAAACCAGTCCAAACCCATCCAAACCAACCCAAACCAGTCCAAACCAGCCCAAACCAACCCAAACCAGTCTAAACCAGTTTAACCCAACCCACACCAGTCCAAACCAACCCAAACCAGTCCAAACCAGTCCCTTGGCTCTTTAATCT